CTCCCCTCCCTTTCCCTTTCCCTCTTGTCCCCCCCTTTCCACATCCCATTTCCCCCCCCCTTTCCCCAGTTCTTTTCCATAACCAGCTGATCCCACCAGCTCCAGCTGCTCCATCACTCCCACCCCATTCTCAGGGCCCTCATTCCCCAAACTGAGGGGGTCCTGACCTGGGCTGTGTGTGTGGGGGGTTCTAACCCTCATCCTTCCCCCCCCAATCCCACCTTTCCCCCTTTCCCAGGTCTCCTTAAACGCCTGGTTCTGGTCCACGGTTTTCCACACGCGGGACACGGCGCTGACGGAGGTGAGGGGGTGACACCCCGGGGTGTCCCCACACCCTGAGGGGGTCCCTGTCCCCCCTCTTGGAGGTGTTAGACCCCTGCCACCCCACCCCTGCTGCCAGTTGGGCTCATCCATCCCAAATCCCACAGAAACTGGATTATTTCTGCGCTTCGGCCGCCGTCCTGCACTCGGTGTACCTGTGCTGTGTCAGGTGGGCACTGGGGGCACTGGGACTGGACTGGGAGGTACTGGGTCCAACTGCAGCTGGGCTGACAAGTGCTGGGCTGTACTGGGAGCCACTGGGCCATTCTAGGGGGTCACTGGGCCATGCCAGTTCTGTACTGGGGGTCACTGGGCCATGCTGGGGCTGTGTTAGGGGTCACTCGGGCCATACTGGTGGGCACTGGTGGGTCTTGCTGGTGGCTATTGGGCCATCCTTGGTCCGTGCTGGGAGGTGCTGGGCTGTGTAGTGGGGTCACTGGGCCACACTGGGGAGCCACTGGACTTTGCTGGGGGAGGTGCTGGGCTCTGTTGGGCCAGTTTGAGTGTCACTGGGCCATACTGGGGGGGTCCCTGAGCCATCCTGGGGGCTCACTGGGCCACCCCCCCCCACCCCCTGTCCCCCCAGGACGCTGGGGCTGCAGCGCCCAGCCTTAATCAGCATCTTCAGGGCCTTCCTCCTCCTCTTCCTCACCTGCCACATCTCCTACCTGAGCCTCGTGCGCTTCGACTACGGCTACAACCTGGCGGCCAACGCGGCCCTGGGTGAGCTGGGGGGCACTGGGGGCACTGGGGCTGGGCTGGGGGGTGCTGGGCTGTACTGGGAGCCACTGGGCCATGCTGGGGCTGTGTTGGGGGTCACTCGGTGCCTCCCTGTCCCTGAGCCCCCCCGTTTTCCCAGGGATGGTGACACGGGGATGGTGACACGGGGATGGTGACACGGGGATGGTGACACAGGGATGGGTGCCCCCCCTGTTCCCGAATCCCCCCAGTTTTCCCAGGAATGCTGACTGGGGGGGTGGGTTCCAGCATGTCCCTGAGTGCCTTATTTTCCCAGGAATGCTGTCCGTGGTTGGGTCACTCCCCTGACCCTTTCCCCCCCCCTTATTTTCCCAGGAATGCTGATGGGGGGGTAGGTCCCACCCTGTCCCTAAGTGTCCTATTTTCCCAGGAGTGCTGCCCGTGGTTTAGGTCCCCCCCCTGCCCCTTTTTCCCTTGTTTTCCGAGGAATGCTGCCCGTGGTTAGGTCCCCCCCGTTTTCCCAGGAATGCTGATGGGGGGGGTAGGTCCCACCCTGTCCCTAAGCGTCCTATTTTCCCAGGAATGCTGCCCAGTGCTTGGGTCCCCCCCCTGCCCCTTTTTCCCTTGTTTTCCGAGGAATGCTGCCCGTGGTTAGGTCCCCCCCGTTTTCCCAGGAATGCTGATGGGGGGGGTAGGTCCCACCCTGTCCCTAAGCGTCCTATTTTCCCAGGAATGCTGCCCAGTGCTTGGGTCCCCCCGACCCTTTCCCCGCCCCGTTTTCCCAGGAATGCTGCCCAGTGCTTGGGTCCCCCCCTGACCCTTTCCCCGCCCCGTTTTCCCAGGAATGCTGCCCGTGCTTGGGTCCCCCCCTGACCCTTTCCCCGCCCCGTTTTCCCAGGAATGCTGACGGTGGGCTGGTGGCTGCGCTGGTGCCTGGGGCACGGCCGGCACCTCCCGCACGTGTGGAAATGCGCGGCCGCGGTGCTGCTGCTCCAGGCGCTGGCGCTGCTGGAGCTCCTGGACTTCCCGCCCCTGCTCTGGGTGCTGGACGCCCACGCGCTCTGGCACATCGGGACCATCCCCCTCAACGTGCTCTTCTACAGGTCCGTGACGCCCCCTCCCCGCTTGAAATCGGGGGGAAGGGGCACCCCGAGGGTCCCGATGCTTCAGCGCGGGGTTTTTGGGGGGGGCTTGTGGCTCCCCTGGGGTGGTGGGAGTCTCATCTTTAAAGCTGAGGTGCTGGGGCTGTGGGGTCCCCCTCTTGAAACTGGGGTGCCCTTTGGTCTGCGGGGTGCTCAGTGGCCCCCTCTTGAAATTGGGGCCCCCCTGAGTTTGCAGTGGGGTGTTGGGAGGGACCCCATTGCTGCACCCCCTGAGCCCCGGGGTGTGTCTGTGCTCAGTGAGGGGTTCAGGGCTCCTCCAGTCCCCCCCTCCCCACCTGGCACAGGCAGCTGGGGGGGGCTGTGGACCCCAGAACCTCCCCCACAGCCCCCCGTTTGTCCCCCAGTTTCCTGATGGACGACAGCCTCTACCTCCTGAAGGCCAACTCCGACCTCCTCAAAGTGGACTAGAGCTGCTGAGGGGGGGAGAGGAGAAGCCCCTCGTGCCCCCTCCAGGGTCCTGCCCTGCCCTGTGCCAAGTGACCCCCCGGCTCCCCCCTGCCACGGCCTCCTCCTTCCCCCAGTTGCCTTCTGAGGTTTGTTCTTCTCCCCCCGCAAAACCCTGTGCCCCCCCTCACCCCTCCCTGGGGGGCTGGGGACCCCCAGCGCTGGTGCACAGGGGGCAAGGGGCAGCTGAGCCCCCACCCCCGGACCCCCCCCGGGGCTGAGCCATGAGGTGACAGTGGTCATGGTGGGGAGGGGGACACGTGGGTGACTGTGGGGGGGTGTCTGTGCACTTTGGGGGCCTTGCTGGGCCCTGCTGGGTGGCTCTGGCAGGGGTGGGGGGTGATGTGTGGGTGCCTTGGGGCTGGGGGTGCCCCCCCGGCCCAGAGGGGCTGTGCCCCCCCCGGGGATGTGCCCCCCCCACCCCCCTTGCCTGGGTGTGCTGTGGGATGTGAATAAAGCTGAGTTCAGCCTGTGCTGGGTTATTGCCCCCCCTGTGCCCCCTCCCTGCCCCAGGGGCACCCTGTACCCCCAGTGCTGACCCCCTGCACCCTCTGTCTGCCCCCTCACCGTGTGCCCCCCTCCCCTTTGCTGTCACCCCACGAGGCACCCCAGATCTGCCCCTTATGCCCCATATCCCCCCTCTTTGTACCCCAGCATCCCTTGTTTTACCCAAAACCCCCCTGCCATGCACCCCCTGCCCACCCCATACCTGCCCTGCCCCCCATTTCTGACTCTGCTCCTGCCCTCTGTGCCCCAAAACCCCTTGTGGGGTGTGCCCCATATCCCCCACACACCGTGAACCCCACCCTCACCCCCCATATACCCACCTTTGCCCTTCGTGTGCCCCAAACCAGCCCTGTGAGTGTGCCCCAAAATTCCCTCATGGTGTGCCCCAAACCCCCTGCCATGCCAGGCACCCCCTACCCGCCCCATCCTCACCGTGCCCTGATTCCCTCATCACACCCTCCCCTCTGCCCTTCACCCTGGGGTCCCTGCCCCACCCAGGATCTCCGTGTGCCCCCTCCCCACACACCACCCCCTCCCCACACCCCTCACTGGCTCCGGCTCTGCCACAACCTCAACCTTTATTCCGGGTCCGGGGGGGTTGGTTCCCCACGCCCCCAAACGCAACCGCCGGGGGTCCCGGGGTCGAGTTTCCCCCTGCTCCTCTCAGTGCCCCTGGGGGGGTTTCTGGGCGTGGGCGAAGAACACCCCGTGCACGTCGTCCACGCCGGTGCGCAGCGCCGGGGGCATCTCGTAGCTGCGCAGCTCCCGCAGCGCCAGCCCCGCGCCCGCCAGCGCCGCCCGCACGTCGGCCAAGGCCAGCGGCACCACGGGCAGCCGCGCCGGCCCCGCCAGGTAGAAGGACTCGCCCAGGGCCCCCAGGAGCAGCGCGTGGCCCCCCGGGCGCAGCAGGGACCCCACGTGCAGCAGCGCCCGCGCGAAGGCGGCGCGGTCGGGGCTCACGGCCTCCAGGCAGAAGGCCGAGAGCAGAGCGTCGGCCGGCGGGTCCAGGGGGGCCCCCAGCGGGTCCGGGCGGTGCACGTCGATGGGCAGGATCCGGCGGAGGCGATCCCGCAGCCGGCGCTCCTTGTCCTGCCACGGCTCCCTGAGGGGTGGGGGGGAAACGGCGGGAAGGGGGGAGTGGGGAGGGATGTGTTTGAGGGGGGGGCACAGGGATGTGGATCGACCCAGAACCCGCCGGGATGTGGGGATGGGATGAACCCGGCACGTACAGGGATGTAGGGATGGGATCAACCCAGAACCCACTGGGATGTGGGGATGGGATCAACCCAGAACCCACCAGGATGTGGGGATGGGATCAACCCAGAACCCACTGGGATGTAGGGATGGGATCAACCCAGAACCCACCAGGATGTGGGGATGGAATCAACCCAGAACCCACCAGGATGTGGGGATGGGATCCTGCAGGGATGTGGAAATGGAATGAACCCAGCACCCACAGGGATATGGGGATGGGATCAGTCCAGAACCCACAGGGATATGGGGATGGGATCAACCCAGAACCCACCGGGATGTGGAAATGGAATGAACCCAGCACACACCGGGATGTGGGGATGGGATCAGTCCAGAACCCACAGGGATATGGGGATGGGATCCTGCAGGGATGTGGGAAGGGAATGAACCCAGCACACACAGGGATGTGGGGATGGGATCAATCCAACACACAGGGATGTGGGGATGTGGTCGACTCAGAACCCACAGGAATGCGGGGACAGGATCCTGCAGGGATGTGGGAGTGAGATCGTGCAAGGATGTGGGGGTAGGATCAATCCAGAACCCCCAGGGACCTGGGAACAGGATCTTGCAGGGGTGGACCCAAGCACCCGCAGGGACACGGGGACAGGGTCCCCTGGAGATCAACCCGGCAGCCAAGTGGTGGGAGGGGATTGGGTGGGGATTGATCAGGAACACACAGGATTGTGGGGACAGAATCCCATGGATATGTGGGGCAGGGATCTTGCAGGGATCACCCCAGCATTCACAGGGGTCGGGGGGGGGGCATGATCTCCTGGGATTTGGGGACGTGATTCCTTAGGGATCATCCCAACATCTGCAAGAGCACAGGGCTGTGATCCCATGGGATTTGGGGATAGAATCCCTCAGGGATCATCCCAGCATCTGCAGGAGCATGGGGCTGTGATCTCATAGGATTTGGGGACAGAATCCCACAGGGATCACCCCAGCGTCTACAGGGATGTGGGGCTGTGATCCTCGGGGGCCTCGGGCACACGATCCCGCAGGAACCACCCCAGCACCACCCCTGTCCCCCTTCGCCCCTCTACAACCTCTCCCACTCCCCACCCGTGCCCCCCACGGCCCCCTACCCACGGCCCTCGATCTTGCAGACGTGCTGGATGAAGGGGCTCCAGTCGAAGGCTCCGGGGTCCCCCCGCACCCACCGGCCCAGCTCCTCCCTGTTCACCGCCAGGTAGTCGGTGGCCACGATCTCCTCGAAGTGGTCGCAGGCGCTCAGCAGTTGGTAGATGGTGGGGCCCGAGCCCACATCGATCAGGGTCTGGCCCCGGATCTCACCTGGGTGTGTGTGTGGGGGGGACAAGACATGGAGGAGGGGGGTCCCACACCCACCCAGGGGACCGGGAAAACCCGGGCGGGCGATGGGAGCTGCCCCCAGGGTGGGAGGTGGGCGCGGCGGGCACCGAGGGTGCCCCGTGCCTCAATTTCCCTGCCCCGTGCCTCGGTTTCCCTGCCCCGTGCCTCGGTTTCCCTGCCCCGTGCCTCGGTTTCCCCGCCCCGCTGCAGGGCTTTGGGGGGGTCCCCGAGCCCCCTCTCACCGCTGGCGAAGGTGTCGGCGAGGCATCGCAGCTTCCAGGGCACCACGAACTCCTCGGAGGAGAAGTCGGCGCGGGGGGGGAGGTAGTTGTTGCGCAGGTACGCGCAGGGGTCGAAGCGCTCGTAGCCCTCGCGGAGCTCGGCCAGGCTGCTCATGGCGGGGGGGCTGCGGCTCCCGCGCCCGGGAATCGCCTTTTATCCCTGTCCGGGCCCGGGGGGGCGGCGGGGAGACGTGACGGCCCCATCCATCCAGCCCCCGTCCCTCCATCCATCATCCATCCCGGCTCCCAGCCGTCCATCCATCCCCGATAACTGGGTTAGCGCCGGAGCCCCGGAGCCATCCCGGAGCTGATAACGCTCTGCTGCCCTTCCCGGGCTGAGGGATCCAGGAATCCTGTCCCAGTCCCTGCGTCTGGGACACCGTGACCAGCCCCGCACTGCCCCAGGGCTGGGAATGCTCATGAGTGTCCCATGGGATGGGAATGGGGAGGGATTGGGTTGGGGCTAAGGATGGAAAGGGTTTGGGATGGGGAGAGAAACGTGACGAGGATTGGGAAGGGGATGGGAATGGTGTGGGATGGGGATGGGAACATGGAGGGATTGGGATGGAATGGGATGGGGATGAGGGTGGGAAGGGTTTGGAATGGGATGGGGATTGGAGTGGGGGAAATGGAATAGGGATTGTAATGGGGATAGGAA